CAGCAGTGGGGATGTGTGTTCTGTCCGTGGTCTCCGTCCTGATCATGATACCCGGCCTGAGGGGCACCACGTTGGTCCGCAGCGCGCTGGCTCGGGGCAGGCTGCTGCAGGTCTCTGGCGCCCTCTGTCTGTGCGGAGGTCCGTACTGCGGCTCCTCACTCATGACAAAAACAGCCGTAATCAAATCCAGCCTGAAGCAGTTTGTTGGGTTTTGTGGTTCCTGCACAGTGGGTGACTACTTCGGATTCATATCATTCTCTGGTTCAACACATGTCCGCACGACTTCATTATTTACACTTTAACAGATGTAACGCTGACTCGTGTATCGGTTTGAAAATGTGTATATGTGTGTGTATATTTGTGTGTGTGTGGGCATTTTAGGTGCGTGTGATGCAGCTGGCCTTCTGTGGTATGGGGTGGACACTTACACCAGATACGGACAAGAAGTAGGTGTCATTGCACAACACTTATATTATATGAGGTTTTTTTTTTTTTTAAATCCAGCCACACCATTTATTTATTTTTTTAATCGAGCCACTACCAAACCCATTTTTGTCTTTCCATTTCCAAAAATTGTTTGCTAATGTTGTCTCAGCAAAAATACAGCCAAATTAATTTCCTGTCCAGCAGCCATTAAGCTCACCTTTCTGTCGCACTCTTCTGATAAAGAACTTTCATATTTAAATATTTTCACTGCACAGACAATTCTAATTGTATCAGCACTGCGAATCAATGAAATCTAATTTATTCTCTTTCAAGATGCTCGTTATCAACAGCGTGTTGTGGGCATGTTAATTATCTGGCAACATTTTGATAACAATAAACCCTTTTATTTCATGTTTACTGTTCCTCGGCTCCTGAATCTGCTGTGTGTCTGTGTGTGTATGTGTGTGTGTGTCACTAACGGTGTGTTTCTTTCTGGTAGGAAGAAACTGACGCTTGATGTCCAGCTCAGAAACAAACCTGCCAAGTCAGGCTGAAATAAGTTGAAAGAGCTGCGGTCGAGTTAGGGAGTAACTAGATAGCAGGCGGTGGAATTCACTGAGAAAAAAAAAAGGTCTCACAGAGAGAGAGGATACGAGCCTGCAGCACAGGTTTAATGGTGTTCACTATGTTTTTTTATAAAATCAAGGTAGAGGTTCTTTTGAAATCGCAAAATCCATTTTTCCTGAAGTTCTAATAAGAGAGAGAAGAAGATAGAAAAAAATCACAGATAGAAAGTTTTCATGCCTTTAAGACGTAATGTGCTTGCTTCATTATTTCTGCATCTTTCTTTTTAACATGTGACTCTGGGGATGCCAGGGATAACGTTTGAGTTTGGACTCTCCTACTGGTTGATGGTGGGAAGTGTGTTCTGCTCTCTTACCTCAGCTGTATTGGCGATCAGGAGTGCGTCTCATATCTGTGATGCCACCTGGACGCAACCGAGACTCGGTCCGGGCCAGGAAGCCGGGACCAATGCTGTCGTGTCACAGCAGTCTACGTCAAACTACAAAACTTACATTTAAAGCTTTTTCAATAAAGTAGCTCCATGAAGTGCTGAAGTCTGCTCTCACTTAACTTCTAAATATGCAGCCCAGCCGCCAAGTATAAATGTCGTCATTGTACGCTTCTGCAAACCACGGATACGTTGTGATGTAGTATATCGAGCTATCGTCAATGACGTGTTTTAAGTGGTTAAGTTACATGGTATAATAACAAATTTAACTAGCAAGAAAGTTCACTAAGGGTGAAACAGCACAGGACTTACACCCAGGAGACCACTGTTCGTGTCACATGTAAAACCAAAAGTAAACATTGACCTAGGCTAGCCAAGGGCGGTGGATATTTATTGACGCGAGTTACGTTAGAATAGAAACCCTTTTTATTGTCATATAGATATACACAAAATTTGACTTCTGCATTTGACCCATCCCTGTATATAGGGAGCAGTGGGCTGCCAATGACGGGAGCCTGGGGTTCAGTGTATTGCTCAGGTACACTACGACACGTGACACGTCCCAGTCGAGGATCGAACCGTTGACCTTCCGGTTCCCAGACAACCCTCTTAATGGCGACCGTGGCTCACTGGGTTAATGATCGCGATGGTACTTAACGTGTTTTGCTTGTTACATAACTTTAAGTAAGAAAGTCAGCGAAGGCCATTTGTGTTTTATTAATGGTCGATATGTTGTTGCGTCGTTACGTTGTTGCGTCTTTACGCTGTTGCATCTTTATGTTGTTGCGTCGCTGCGTTGTTACGTTACCATATTACCATGATGTGTTTTATTCATGGTCGTTGCGTCTTTACCTAACTAATTGTTTCATCACATTTACCACGTTGCATTGTGCGTTTCTGCAAGTGTGATACGAGGCTAATATGAGCCATATTCATGAAACATATCCCATGGTTTGCAGACACGTAGAATGTCAACTTTTCGTCCTGGCGGCTGGGTTGCAATAAGAATGCCGAGTTTCATTATGAAAACATTTTACTTTGTTGTAATGATGTTTACAGTTTAGCAATAAAATAAATTCCAGAGTTTCCAGTCTGACATTCCTAAATTACCATGATGTCCAAGTCCCAATCGAAGGCATGTCTCACACATCATCCATCATTCAAAGTGCTGAGAGTGGGAAAACACATTCCTGTTTTTACTATAATGGTTTGGTTTCTGCTGCAAGCTTCGGTTCAACGGGTTCATTGTGCATGTAACATTGGCTCCGGTGTTCCCACATATTCATACAGTAATTACAGTGAATGTATATCTTATATCAGTAAACTGTTATCTCTGATAAGAAGAACAAAAATATTTCTCAAGGAGCTTGAGCAGGAAGAGACAGATGCTGATACTGTACATGTGTTTAATTAGAGTTGTATGAGTGTGCTAAAAATCACGGTTCATGTGACATGTTTTTGTATAGTTTACATATTGGTTTACATATTGTCCTTGTGGGAGATGTGGGTTTTTTTGCATGACAGTTTTAAACGGTGTGAACGGTCAGCGTTGCTGAACAGACTGTATAGTCATGGGTAGTCTAGGCGCATCCGTACATGTCAGGTGTATGTGAGATTTCACATCCGTACACCGTTCCCACCACTGGTGTCTTCAGTGTGCGTTTTTCTCAAACTACCTTATTTAAACTCAGTATACAAACTCATGGATAGTCTGCCTCGGTTGGTAAAAAGACAGCGGCTTTGAAACGGACTGTATATTTGTACTAAAATAATGTGGCATTGATTTAAAGTTCTTCAAATCATCCACATATTCAAGATCTTCCAATGTTATTTGAAGCTGATTTTCTTAAAGACGTGGTTCATATTTATTCAACCCTATCTTACTACAAATATCCACATGTCCATATTGAAAGTTATTGGTCGCAGTAATAATTCCATCTCTCCGTACCGGCCGTGAAGAAATCCCTTCCTAACGGGACTCCAATTTAAACACCTGTTCACACATATGGACTTAAAGTAGCAGACTCTTGTTGTTTCCTGCACAATGTTTTTCCATTGAACTTGGAAATCGGCTATCACATGTTGGGGAAATCAAAATTGACATGATTAGTTGTCCACAGGACATTTACATAAAGTTGAAACATAGATAAACTGCCATGTGCAAATAATGTAGAAAACAAGAATTTTAAAACACTGGAACAGGACATAAATGTGTTCTGGAGTTTTGCTGTATGGTCAAACATTGACACTGTTGTCGGATGACTGGGTCGACAAAGACTGTAACTTTGGAAGATTTGTTTGATTTGGCTTACCGCTACTCAGACTGCTAAAGCCTCATATTAGCTTCGGCTGAACTTTGGAATGCATTTTTGCCCAGAATGAAAGTTGTGTATTTTGTCTCCCATCTCTTACCTTGGAATATCTTTGGGCAAGTATTTCTTCATGGCTAGTGTAGACAGGTGGATGATTGCAACAAGCAACTCTTACAATGTACATTTAGCCATGTGTATATTGCATTAAAGGGTAACTTTAATACAATATTTCCCAACATATTTCCCAATGTTTTTACGTTTAAGTGACTAATAGGGACAAAGTACTGTGAAATTGGTCCAGTATTGAGGGACAACGCTGAAGACGGCAGCTAAACGTGCTGCATTATAATTGCTCAGGGCAACTCCTCACCGTCAATGTACCTCCACTAAAAGTGCTTGTGATCGATATGAAAAAGGCTAAGATTTATATTTTAAGTGTCTGGCAACATTATGAAAGAACCCTCCAATCATGTTTCTCAACCTTCCGCTTTCTGTTTGTAATTGTGACATGTGAATTGCTGGAAGACAATGGTAGAAACGTGAGTGAGAGTTGGAGACAGTAGTGGCGGTGTTGTTAGAGTTTGTAAGCGTAGCTTAGTGTTATCTAAAAAATAAAATGTAATGTTATGGCTGAAAAATGTAGAGGATATCCACAATGTGGATGCGCCTCGAGTTCACAGAACAATAACATACAGACCGGATCAAGCTAAAGGTAAAGAAAAAGGTTTTGATTATTTGTAGGGTTCTTTCCATAATGTAGTCGGACACTCACAACAAGCACTTTTAGTGGATGGGTAAAGAGTTGTACCGAGAGATTGCTGCCCGTTTAGCGGCTGCTGTCTGCAGATTTCTCCCTCAATACTGGACCAATTTAAATTTCGTTAGTGGTAAGACACAGAAATATGGGGAGAAGGTTGAAAAATACCCAAGTAACCCTTTATATGGGTCTGTAGAAGCTAATACTTAATTCCAAGCTCGTGATTTAATAAAAGTTTTGCGGCTGAAACTCAAAACAGAAGGAAAAATCAAGCCTTGTTATCAACTGTAGCAGTGGTGAGTCCACTTGAGAATGTGCCACAGTCCAGTGGAGCAGAAGTGGAATTCCACGTCTGCAATTATTGAACAACGGGGTGCAAAAGAAATATTTGAGCTGGAAAAACGGAGGGTCGAGCGGAGGAAGGTGTGTGTGGGGGGGGGGAGGGGGCAAAAGTCAGTCGAGGGTGAAAAGTACATGACTCATGACTCAAATCTCTTGGTTTTTTCATCTCTGTTTGCTTTATTCTAAAAGTAACAGACAGGGGTATACCGTAAATGAGATGATACACAACATTGAGGGGGGTAAATATTAGAGAAATGAATGGCGTGGTAAATAAATGCAGGCTTGAACGCTCAGCCAACGTGCGTTCCTTAGTACAGGAGACAACACACAGTACAGTACATCCTTTAGAGTCCATAAGGCAACGACTCTGTCATGGCATTCACACAAAATCATATTGGCACTTAATGAAACTAAATGAACGCACTGGGTATATCCTCAATCCAGGCTACAAGGAAACAGGCACACAGTTTTAATACAAACAGTGGCACACAAGGCACTATGCTTCAGATCTATCGTACGTATGTCTTTGTTGTTTCATAAGTGGTACTGCAGAGTAGCTTCACAGTCATTTCCAGAAGTCCGACAATAGATTTTTTTTTAAAGGCACACAGAACTGCTGGCAGGGGGAACTATGGACACCCACGTCCTTCAAGATGGGACGGGAGACTATGAAGAATCCATGAAGTCAGAAACAAACGTGTGCTCAAACATGTGTTATAAGGCACTGTAGTAAAACATTATATATGTAGTAAAAAAAAAAAAAAAGAGGAATAGGGTAGGTGGTATATACACCCGGGCATTTTAACATGTTATAGACAACATACCCTGAATGACTGTCTCTCCCAGAGTCAGCAAAACAGACAAACCAGGATATCTAAAAAAAATTCTAAAAACTCCCAAAAATTTATTTTTTCTTTCTTTTACAACAAAGACTCTAATTTATGTTGCTGCAATGTGCTTGCCGTTGATAAATTCTTTTTTGTCTGTGTGTCTGTTTTGAAGTCCTCGGGGAGAGGGTTTTGTCTGTAGACAGAATCTAAACCATGGTAAGGCCAGAAGACTCTCCCAAACTACAAGTACTGCTCCCTTTTCTCTGGTGGGGTACTTTTAACATTTGGTCTGCAATTCAAAAGGGAAAAAGAACACGTTTCAGTCAAGGCACAGTTACAGCGCACAAAAGTAAACTCAAAAGACACATATTACCAAAAACACCCAGAGGTCATAGGATATAAGAGAAATTATAATAAATCAGCGCAAAACAAAAACGGTTTCAACTCATTGTTAACGTTTGGCCAACAGTAAGACAAAGGAGGGCGTGGGAGGTGTAGTAGAGGGCTCACATGGAAACGGAGGAGGCCACCTCATTTCTTAAATAGAAGGTCTTAATCATCGTCCTTTAGGAGTCCATATTTACAGAAAAGGCTCAGAAGGTAGGGGACAAAAATGGGAGAAGATAATGCATCTTGGTTCCCACTAAGGTGCAGATGTAGTAATGAAGAAAGGGGAGTATTCTACTGCAAGAGGTCCAAATTTAGGGTCAAAGAGAAAAACGGGGGGGAGGGGAAAAAAGGGGGGAAGACAGACGTTGGACAGTCGGGACAGTCCTCGATAAAAGGGCGGGGGGCTGATCAGTCGGGGAAACTAGTTTCACTCAACAACTCTGCCCTGAATTAGAAGAGAGAAGAAGACAGTGAGAGGAGAACAGGAGGAACAGGAGGGGAAAGAAGAGACACATCAAGACTGCTCAGATTCTCACAGCAGCTATGAAGTGTTAGAAAGAAAGCAGAGGCGCTTGATGATTATACAGATGTTAGCAGAAGAAAAGGGGATGGGAAGTCAATGAGAAGGAGCACGGGAGGTGATGCTACATTAGGCTTATAATGATGGACTGGCTGATGCAGGGGACACTCTTGCTGAGAGTTAGATGAGAAGATTAATACCACTCTCTATATCTTTATGGTAAATATGAAGCTAGAGCCACCTGAGCAAACTAGCTAGCTTGGCTAGGTTAGCTTAGTTTAGCAAAAGCAGGGGAGAAAGCAACTAGCTTGGCTGTGTCCAAAAGTAACAAAATCTACCGGCCAGCGCTATAATATATAATAAATAATATAATGTCTCATTTGTTATGGTTTTGTTGTTGTTGTTGTCTTCAGACAGAGCCAGGCTAGCTGTTCCTGCTGTTTCCATTCTGAATGATATGCTAAGCTAACTGTCCCCCTGCTTTTAGCTTAATATCTAACAGACAGATAAGAGAGTGGCATCGATCTTCTCATCTAACTTCCGGCAAAAAAAACAACAAATAAGCATACTTCCTGAAATTTCAAATCATTACTTTAAATGTATATTTTCATTTCTTTGGACATAGCATTACAGGTAGTTTTCTTTTAATCAGACTTGTTGAGCAATCCCTATTCAAAGCGCAGCTGCTAATGACAAACAAGTAACGCCTGGCATCCCCTATTATTTAAAGGGGACAAGGAATTTTCTATAGGCCCACCACCCCCCACCCCAATCTGTCAGAGCACTCCACAGAGCACTCCACAAACAAGTGTCTACTAAGAAGAGAGGCCGTATGACTGGGAAACAGGGGGACTGGGAGCGTTTCTAAGAAAAGTTAATGGCTTTATTTTCTGGAACAGTGATGGACCGGCTCTTTTAGAAACTCAAGAGCCAATTTAGGCCAACTGTTGAGTTTTACAGCCTCTACTGTGGAGGCACATTTTTAAAAACGTTGCAGACATCTATTGTAATGCATCCTCGTGGAGTAGTCAGTGGTTTGCAATAACATGTGTAGATCTACTGCAGTGAAGTTAAACATGACATTTATACTATTCATAAGTCTGTTTTAAACATGCTAGCTTATAGTCTATTGTAAAGTAATGAAACTGTGGTGTCTTATCGCTTATGATCCCCAGTGAGATTAATACCTATGTGGGAAGTACATGAATTAACTTATATCTTAGACATTGGTTTGGTTATACAAGAGAATATGAGATGAAGGTGTGTGTGATTCTGGAATGATGGTGTTAGTAGATGGAGCATGGTGATGAGAGCCTCCACTTTCTCTTAGTGTAGAGTCAAACGGTGGAATTACCATTAACAGCATTCATTTCAGTCAAACTAAGAAGACAACTTTTTTACTAACAATTCACCTCCACTAATGTGTGCAGTTCAGGTTGTGTCTTCATGCACAGCCCTCATCAAGTGGTTGTTGTGTAAAACGGGACTACGTAAGAACTAGCTTCTTTTAAAGTGAGGAAGCTCGTCAGCAGTTGGCTGCCCGAGCCCTTACTTACATGGGACGCTGAACACAGCTGCTTCTTTTTTGTCACTGTGGTTAGTTTATTCACATGTAGGTTTCTCTTTATCAGGCCGTAGCTACTGAGATCATTTCCTCTTGAGTAGTTCTGGAGTTCTGGAGTAGTTTAACAACCGGGGGGAGTTTACAGTCAATAATTAAAAACTTTAACCTGTTCTCACTCCCAACTCTTCAAATACCAATGTTCGGGCAGTGCCCCCGGACCTCTGATATTGACGCATCGAGGCACCCTTTAGTGAGACACTCGGCACTAGGCTTTCAACTTCGACGAAACTGACGTAGTATTGAGAGCAAGAAAGTCCGCGTTGGGCGAGTCGGAGGGGAGGTTTAATGGGTCAAACAAAACAGGACTTTCCCCCAAGGGACCGCTGTTTGCGTGCCGTGTGAAACCAAGTCAACTTGACTTATTTTATCAGGGTTTTGCCACGTAACTTAGGAACCAACGCCTGTTACGTGACAACCACAGTTTGTTTAGTAACAAACATAACCAGTGGGCAACCTTCGGTTCAGGAAAGTGATGCCAATGAGGAAGTGCCTTAAGCATTCTCTCTACTGACCATCAGGATACCACTCCCCTGGTTGCAAAAAGATTGTATAGAAGTCTATGAGAAAATGACTCTACTTCTCACTTGATTTATTACCTGAGTAAACATTGTAGAGATGAGTTTATGGTCTCAATCTCTAGTTTCAAGTCTTCATCAATACAGCATGATGTTTATTTAGTAAATGATGGTCTATTTAGAGTCACACAGACCATAAAGCAGGGTATGCTTTAGGGCGTGGTTAGCTTGTGATTAACAGGTCGCTACCAGAGCCGTATACTACGTCTCCGCGCCACTCCTCCACAGTCCAATCGTGGTCAAGTTCGCTCACTGGTTGCAAAAAAACAAAATAGCGAAGGCCAAAATATAAGATGGCGATGGCCCAAATCAAGATCTTTTCCTAAGCCTAACCAAGTAGTTATGTTGTGTAAGTAAACCTACGTTGGAAGTTTATTTTGAAAAGAGACCGTATGCATGTAACAAGCGGAAAACTACGTTTTCTGTGAACATTGGAGTTTATTTTGAAAACCTCCAAAACGTATGATAGAGGGGAACCTATAGAGCGTCCTAGTTTGAAGCGTAGGGCTACTGCTGAGCGTCAGTATTTGACGAGTTGGGACTGATAACATATTGACTTGGTGGATATTTTACAGGGTGATTCCAGACTTTTTTTTAACTCAGTGAGGAGGGGCTTAGACCTCTGTATGTCTAAAATTCTGACTACGGGCCTGGTCCCCATAGTTGGTGGAGAGTTGCACCACAGTACAACAGCAGCTATGCTGATAGTTTGAGCAGGAGAAGCTTTAGTACAGTGAATTTGTGGGCTGTACCTTTACACAACATAACTGCACCAGTGGAGTGTGAATACACAAAGCAACATGGAGACAAAGCACAGATGCAGCTCCAGCCAGGAAGCATAGGACATGCTAATAAAGTTCACTTTTGCAGTATTTCTAGCTCCATGTCCATTGTCTCTGGGTATCTGCTGTGACACACTTTACATTATGCCTTTAGATGTTTTGATTAGTTTCCCTTTCATTTTTATTTTAAAGTGGGTGACTCATAGTGTTGTGATTTTGGGGGTCAGATTAAAGCTGCTGCACTAATTTCAAGTAGATTTAACAAATGACATTGAGGCATTTGAGAGGTTTCCATTCACAATTGCAAGCTTTGTATCATCATATAAGTAAGCTGGATGATTGCTCGCAAATGATTTATTAAAGTTTGTAGTTTTTTTAGCCACCAAAATACATCCTACCGGTGCTTGTGTGAGTACCTGTGTCTGCAGAGTGTAAGTACTACATGGTTGCATGTGTGTTTGATAGTCTTTTTGTTTTGTTTTATAATTTGAGGAAAAAGGGAGGGGGGGCGGTGCCAAGCGTGTCCGATGCTCTCTGTTTGGGTGGCTGCTGGAAGGGGGTGGGGTTTACACGTACTCCCTGGTTGTGGAAGGCTGTGATTGGCGGTAATACTGCTGCCCTCGCATCTCCTCTTTAGAGCAGGAGCAGCACAGCAAGGAGCCGCCCAGGACCGTCAGACTGGCCGCCGCCCAGCCCACGAACAGGGCCGAGCCGAACTCATACCTGTGTAAGTTAGAGAGAGAGAGAGGACAGGTGTACAGGATGGCTGCGAGTGTACAAGGTTTTACTGTTTTTACTTCTTTCCGAGATGTTACAATGATTAGCTCTGACTCATTGGAAAGTCAAAAGCAATCCAAGAAATATCAAAGAACATCAAGCACGGTATGTAAAAGAAATAATAATCAAAATAATCTTGTATATTAATTATTAGTTTTACTTATGAATGCACTTTTCTGATTCTTAAAATGCACATGATAACTATAGTGAGAGTATAATACTGCCCCAACCGCCAATCACTATTAGCTTGTCAATTCTAGGACAAGGGATGGATTTTAATGGGATTTATTTTAATGTAAAAACAACTGTTGCATATACAGCTTCAGACAAAATATGAGGCTACTTCAATGCTGTTACTGGATGTAAACACTCAACAGATCCGCATTACTTTGGAGGCAGACGTCTTCCCTTTCTGTCAGCGTCTCTAACCTCTGCACAGCCCCTTCTCAGCAGCGATTCAAACCGACATCACTCACTTTGTCCCGTTAGATGGGAAATTACTCTAATGAAGTGGTACGTGTTAATATTTAGAATGACAGTTTTTAATAAAGGGGTTTCTTTTTGTTCCTGGGCTCAATCGTTCCTGGGATTATTTCATATGAGATGAATTCAATGTTGTGTTTACATGATGGTATCCAGTATTCCATAGACTTAAATGGAGGTTAACGCAGTAGATTGTGTCGCGTTAATCCTGTGACAAAAACCACCAAATAGATAGTTTGATGGTTTATTTAAAGATTATGTCAATAAACTGGCGACATTTGCCCACTGCCTCAAAATACACATACACAGTCGACTGTATGCGCAAAAATGCCATTTTATACAATTCGGTATACATAATAATGACGGTAAGAATTTGATATGGCACATTCATGCGTCCATCAATTTTGAAATGAATCATTTACAAGGTTGCAATGCTTTCCGAGAGCATTTTAGGGGCCACGACACAAAGGAAAGGACAACTAGAAGTATTTAATCTTGCATTTATGAAGTTGAGTTTGTCAGCAGTTCCTTCACATACCTGGCGTTGGGCGGTGTGTTTGGGTTGAAGAACAGATAGGACACCTGAGTGGCATACCAGGACACGGACACCAGTGTACATAGACCTGTGGAGGGAGAACAGATAAATAAGCCTGGCAAGCATTCACTGAAGCTACAACAACTCACAAACGAACTGTGGGGAAACCTCATTTGGTTAATTCCCCCCCTCCCCTGGGCTTGTGGTTTATGTCTGTGGTCAGCGACTAATGCCTCTAAAATGTTCCTGTTTACAGCAGGGACTCGTAATTACAGAGAAGACCCCCACCCCCCAGTGAGAGATTCAGGCTAGAAAAACACCACACCACTTTTGCTAAATGCGCTGGTTGTGGGAGATGCTGCTGTATTTCTATATCATTATTGGTTGTAAATCAAACAGAGCGTTAACAGAACACAGCAGAAGTCCCACCCGCGAGCAGGAAGAGAGCTCCTCCGATCACAGCGATGCGGGTCTTGGTGACCGGGTTGTTGTCCCCCACCTTGGTGCACTTCATGCCCACCACGCTGACGATGATGCCGATGAAGCCCAGCAGCACGGACACCACCATGAGGGCTCGACAAGTCTGGATGTGGACTGGATAAAGGAGGCAGAGGGGGGCACAGAGTGGCGATACAATTAGAAGATATGGAAGAAAGGGAGGGGAGAGGGGGAGAAAGTGGTGAGGGAAAATATATTTTTAGTCCATCGCTTGAAATAAAGTGCACATTTCTGGACATTAAAAGTGACGATTATGAGGGAATGAAGCTGCACACGCAACGTGGGGTTGATGGGAGACCACATGCTTCTCTGGCAGGAAGCTCATCCACCACTGCCCTGTTCAGCAGGGTCATTCCTGCCTTGTTCGTTTCCAGAGGTCACTTTCTCGGCCAAGCTCTGGGACCTTTTTTTTTTTTTTAAATGATCCTGTATATCTTCCCCGGATAATTCCACTGTGGTTTTGCCTTCTCAAACATCCAATGCCCCGCCCACAGGGGCCTCAGCACCCACATAACTCAGTGGGAGGAACATATTTACACATTATTTACACACACACACACACACATACATATGTGCAAATGCACGATATCTGCACACTCACACACAATATCTGTAGGTGGAATAGACACAGATGAAACACACAACTCTCTCTCTCTCTTTCACTCACACACACACACACACACACACACACACACACACACAGAGGAGCTGTAGGAGGGCCTGCTTTACATGTTTCACACAGTGGGATTAGTGTGGCTTTGTCACAAAGCAAGATTGTTTTCACGGGGCTGTCGCCAGGGCGATCAGACTTTGCTGAGGCAACGCAAAGCGCTTAATGATACTGTCAAAATACCGGTGGAGTGTTGTCTCATTTGCAACAAGCGAGGGGATTGTTGATTCCCCCCGCGGCGGAAGTAAACACGCAAAGTCTCGTATATCCCGATTCTGATAGCCAACAAAGCTGACAAATAATTAAAAGGAAACACAACAGAGCCTTTCGTGCAGGTTTAACAGCCAAGGTCTTTGGCATTACCTCCGAATAACAATGACTTGAAGTGTAAGCCAGTGTTTGTACATCGCAGGAGAAAGGCAAGTTTCACATTACACTAAAGCCACAAACACAACGTCACTGAATAGACTTAAACAGATAAAGAAAACAATACAATAGTTTGAAGGAGAGAAAATATGTCCACTCATTTTTTTCCAGAGCTTTCAACTCCAGTTCATGTTCTTCAAAGCTTTGTTGAAAAAAGAGTGAAGCTTTAAGGTTGTTTTTTTGTTTTTGTTTTTTCATCAAACTATTGTTTCCAAAGTTAAGAAAGAACTTTCCCTTTCAATTAGATTGAGTAGATTAAAATCAATATAAATATTGCATTTATCCTGAGCTTTCAATCACATTTCACTGTGTTCAAAACTATGGAAAATAGCCATTAAGAAGCTTGAGCAACAATTTTTTATTTTGTCAAAACTACTGTTTCCAAGGTCAAGAATGAACGTTTGTGCTCCACTGGAATAGAATTGTTTGACAAAGAAACAATCAAACACAAATGAAGCCTCACATTTAGCTAGTAAGTGACCCTTGAGTTAAGATTTTATATTTCAGACAACTATTTCAAAGGTCAAGAATTATTGTCACACTCAAATACAATAGTTTGAATTAAAAGGAAAACTTAACTCAAGGTCCATTTACTGACTTTTTTCAGAGCTTTCAACAGCATCTCAGTCTTCAAAGATCTAGACAAACATTGTTTGCAACAGTAGAATGAGAATAGAACAGAGAAGAATACAATAGACTAGTCTGAAAATACTTCAGCTTTTCATCATCAAAGCTTTTGGGGGGAAAAAGCTAGCAATCGGACCTGTTTGTGAAATGACTATTTCCAAAGTAAAGAATAGAAACTCATGCTGAATCAGAATATAACAGAATGTGGCTTTATGTGTGAGGAAAACAGTCACTTCAAAAAGAGCTCTAGGGCAACAGCCTGAGCAGGAACCTGAAGTCCTCGTTTGTCATTGTGACAGAAATACACACACCATCATTCATGGTGCAGCATTGAAGTAGCATTTCAGAAGCTGATCTGAAGGGACTTATGATTGTGGGGGGGGGCAGTGGAACAATCTTTGAAGTCTGATTTATGGCTCTAGAGCTCCTTTTCATGGACTCTCTGGATAGTCTTCAACAGAGAGAGGTTTGATTTTCTGTTCTTTCATCCACTCTTGAGCATTCCTCTTTTTATTTCTGAGGGCGTTCGGGGGGGGGGGGGGGGGGGGGTTCAGGCCGGTGCTCTGACCAGTTTCAGTTGGTGACGAACCAAAGAGACGTTCGGGGGCCTTTGGGGTAAAGGAAAGGCTAAAAGCAGGGAGGGAGGGACGCTGGCTCACCCACTAGGCCATCTCTCTCTCTCTCCAGCGGCCAAGGTTAGCAGTGCCAGCCACAAGCTTTCAATGAGTATGTGTGCTTGCTGGTGTGTGTATGTGTAGGCACTGTAAGGTCCCATTGTGAGGTCACTTGTCACTCTGTTGTACGTAATATCAGTTTGCCCACTCACTACACAACTATGAAACTTTCACTCATATCTGACAACCGCAGTCCTATTTTACCTCAAGCGCATACTTTGATTAGATGTTTATTCCTGATTGTATTACCGCACTTTATTCTCTGTTCACAGACAGAACAATGTGTCACGGTAAGTATACATACATACATACATACATACATGGATGAATCCTGTATGTGTATGCTGGCAAGTCGTACTGCTGTTGCTATCGGGTCAACAAAATGCACCACATAGTTTAATTTTGTAATCTGTGAACATGTTTTATATTTGGTCATTTAAAAAGGCCTTTCTGGGGACAGGCATTGGAAATTAGCATTAGCTATAAATGCTGTGATACGTTGAATTGGATAATTCTTGTGCAATTTTCTCTGTTGTATTTGTCCGCATCAAATGAAGATGAAATTAATTAAATAAGAGTGGAATAGACGGCTGTTCATCGTCCACTCTGTGGCCACAGACGCATCACTCTCGCTCTTCTGGACTTGAAGACATCAACTTCACTCAATATATTTGCCATTTGTTGACCTGTTCCCATCACAAGTACCTTCCCCTGAAAAAATGAGTGCGTCCTACTAACAAGTATAATGTGTGTATCACAGCCTGGTGTATCCTCTTTCTCTGTGCCATAGAGCTCCATTGTTGTCCAAAAAACGATTACTTTTTTTGCAAAAACTATCAAAAACACATCAATGAGCCACACTGTTGCACTGGGTGACATTTTGCTTCATCACAATGAACCCTCACACTGTAGTTTGTTTCTGAATCAGTCCCACAAACGATGAAATGCTCGCTAGAGCACCAAATGTGTATTAATCAAAGAAAGATTTGCTAAAAACTACAGTGCCCAGCTGTTTTAGGGAAAGTGCTGGGCGTTTTTTAAATATTGGTGAATTTCTTTTATTTATTTATATTATTTTGATTCAAGTCTTCTGTTGGAACAAATGCGCTTGGACCCACAGACAGCGTAGGAAAGTCAGAAAGTATTGGGAGGCGGACAAACACATTGTTGTTTTTGGTCTTTTTGTAGGATTTGTTGACCATAAAAAACATGCATACCCGCCTTATCCATGAATAAATGACAATTCACGGGAAGTTGAGCTGACTTGGCTCTTGGGCAATATTTTGTTCACCCTAACACTAAAGCGAATTTTATTATGTTATTGTGTGTTTCCGGTTCTGAAGAGCTGTCCTTTCAGCACCACCACCATCCTCCGCACTTCTGAAAATTAAAAAAAACATCCTTCTATCAACCCGAAACATCATCTCCTTTTTTGAGCAAAACAAAACTCTGCAAACCCGCAGAGCAGATCCAACACTTTCTTCCGCCGCGGCTGCTTGGCCGCATCAGTGGAGCGCAGCCACAGTCTGGTGAACAATTACACCCTCCATCACATGCTGCCCCCGCTGAGAAAAGTAGCCAGGGAGGAGAGTTCCTTCAGAACTCAAACCAGCGCTAGTGTGGGATCAAACCAAACATCCCCTCGGCACACATGATCTGCTTCATTTCATAATCTGTCTGAGGAAGCATCTGGATGACCCTGTGATCGATGGAGACTCGCTCGGTCACGACTTGTCTGTGCTGCGTTCACCCAGAGGTACACACAGTATGTTTCACCCCCTTTTAGAAGCATTTCTTCAGTGTTTTGTCTTCAGTCTGAATCTGCACTCACTGAGTGTGTTAGTGGACAGACGGAACAATGTGCGCGTGTGGGGAAGACGGAGTGCATTGTGGGAATATCTCTGGTGTTTTGGCTCAACAACTGGCCTTTTCTTCTCCAAAACAACCCCTATTCATCGGTGGAGGACAATACGTCGTTCTTATCACCGCGATGAGCCAAAGGAGATGGGGGATCGGGTCGTCACACAACACGACGCCACAGAGTGGTTTGTTTTTTTGTCCGACGGCTCACAAAAATGTTTGCAAAGCGCCTAATTTTGTGGCAAGCGTGCCACAGCGGGGAAGCATAAGCACAGAGAAAAAAAACAACAATTGTTTTATAAAAATGACTTGTGACCCAAGCTCCCCCCCCTCACCCCCACACTGTAGTTTTTCATTAGAATCTCTAATAGGATGATTTAAGCAGACAGTAGATGGATGGGTTCCTGTAATCTGCGTGCCATTAATTATGAGTCTCTAAAGCCTACTCACAGATTGGAGATGACAGGAAGCTCATATTCTGAGCTAATTTATGTCTGAACCCCACATTCCTGA